ATATATATATATATATATCAATCTGTACTCCTTTTCTGCTTTATTCACCAAAAGGTATGGAGATACTGTCAGAAAGTTGTTGCTTAGTCCATACAAACCAAAATCTTCTAATCCCACTGAAGCTATTATAGCTATTTTTTTTCTTTTGCTGCACATATCAAGACTTTAAATGATAATTTTGAAAAATTTATGTTATTGTAATTGTCTTCACATCTCAGAATGTTAACATTTGTAATAGATCACTCCTACTCTCTTCAAACAGGCATATTCCCAGCTGTTAAAAAATAAATTTCAAAATTTCAATGTATTATTTAATCCATGGGAAAATAAATCTGGCTTAAGTCATTGCGCGTGTGTGTGTGTGTGTGTGTGTGTGCACACACGTGCATATTTCTTAAGAGTATTTTTTATTAGTAATACAGCATTTTTTTATTCTAAATTTGGTTTAGAAAATAGCTAAGAATATATTTTATAAGTGCAAATTTTGAAAATTAGAAAACAAAGATATAATATATACATTACTAGTTTCCCTCATCCTATAAAGGAAACATGTTTAATATATTTTTTTATTCCTAGTTATTGATTTTCCCTTGTTTTTGTTTTTTGGTATTGGGGATTGAACTCAGGTCTTTATGCTTTTGAGGCAGGCACAGTACAGCTGAGATAAATCCCCAGCCCCAATTTTCCTTTATTTGTAGTTCAATTCTGATTCACATAATCATTCATTTGGGGAAGCATCACAGCTCAATGAATGAGAATTCCAGAGGCACACAGTATCTGGATTAGTCACTTATTAATGATCTAACCTTTTGTTAAGTACACTGAGAATAACAGTATGTACTGGTCAATTAAGATTTCTATAAGGGCCTGATACTAGCTACTGCATTCCCAAGACAGCTTTTGTTATTACTATCGTCACTCAACAAATACTTAAGGAATGTACAAATAAATGAACTATATGAAAGTGGTAACTGAGAAATTTATTTATTGTACATACCCACTGTGTGCTATCAAATCCAATTCTACTTCCTTTGGATTTTGATAAAGCAGCTCCATTCTAGGAAGGTAACAAGACATTTCGTAAATTAAAAGCCCAGCATGTAACAATGAATTTAGGGTGAGTACAAAAGTCAAACTATATACAGTAATTAGATCACAGTACTTTATCCAAATACTTATTTTTATATAGCCAAGAGCCAAGATCACTATCATTTTACAATATAACAATCTAACATGTAAAGTACTAACAGAAATTATTAAACAGTAATACCTCCCCATATATATCAATGAATAGCAAACTCTCTGCTACCTGCTACCTCTCTGGAATTAAGACTTTGTCCATGTAGCCCTGTATTTCTACCTCAATTTATTTCTGCATTCTAAATTAGTGTCTGCCAATTTTGGAAAAGTGATAAGAAAGTATATTTACTGAGCAGTTATTAAGTGTCAGGTACTATGATACTTCTATATATGAACTTTTTATTAATATCTATCACTCACAATAATCCTGCAAAATAGGCATGATTATTCTGGTTTTCTGACAGCTCCAATTCCTATACTTTTCCTATCATACAGCATAGTTTCAAATGTTATTTCTTAAATAATATTTTAAAAAATGTTTGGGTCTAGAGAATCAAGAGGAAGAAAAATATCAGCTTTTATCTGATAAGCTGAAATACTTTGAAAGTAACAGAAGTAAGAATGTCTGATAGTGTAGAGACAAGATGAAGAATATTTCAAGCTCAAAGAATACCCAAAGAAATTTCTTATGCTTTCAATGTGTTCATCTAAATGCTCAAAATGGGAGGATGTTGAAGAACAATTAGAATAGCCTCACTTTAAAAATCAAATGAGTTCCAATTTCCTAAGAAAAGAGACTCACCTTCCCACTACACTACACACTCAAGGGCAGGCACCAAGTCCAATCCCTCTTTATATCGCTAGTGCTTGGTATGTAGTAAATGCTTACCAAAGGGTTTGTTAATGGGAGGGAGAAGGAGGAGACAGGGATGAATACGTTGAGAAATTAAGGTAGGGACAGAGTTGGTCTTTCCTCACAAGTTTTGTAACTTAGCCAGTAACATTTTAGTACTGGCCAGATGTTTGGAAAATAACAGCAACAGCAGCAGCTTTGCAGTCTTCAATCCTAAAGAGATTGTAAACTCTGTAATACAGGCATTTCTTGTTCACCATAGACCTACCCTAGTAGAAAAGACTGAATTCCTGAGCTGTATAACTTGTTGTTTGAGATAAGTAAATTTCTAGTGAACTAGACTATCTTTATAATATTTTCATTGAGCTACAGATAACATACCATGATAGGTACCCTTTTAATGTGTATAATTTAGTAGTTTTACTATATTTATAGAGTTGTGTAACTATCACTATTATCTAGAATATTTCATTGTACCAAAAAGAAACCATGTTCCCATTCAGCAGACACTCAGAAGACCCTGGTCTTCCTCCTCAGCCCTAACCATAACACTACTTTATCACTATTTTTTTCTCTATCAATTTGCCTTCGATGGACATTTCGTAAAAATGGAATCATGATATATATGTTTTTGCATCTCACTTCTTTTACTTAGCATAATGTTGTCAAGAGGTTCAGGCACACTGCAGGACATACCAATACTTAATTTCTTTTTGTAGCTATTATTCTATTCCATATTTATGATTTAATGAATATTTGGGTAATTTCACATTTGGCAATTACAAATAATGTTATCAAAAAATTCATGTTTTCTAAGTCATATTCTTGTATATACTCAAAACTTGCCTCTACATCTCTTCATTTTACTTGTTTAGTGAAAATCCAACCCTCCATTTATTCTGTACACGCAACTGTACCTGCCCACTGGTATCAATTTAAGTCCTATTTACAAGAAGGGCCTTAACTGCCCAGAAACCACTCTACATTTCCCTTGTCTAGAAACTTCCATTCTCCCGGATGACTTTTCTGTTCTTTTCTTTTTCCAACACTTCCTCCCTATTTGTCCTTATGGCACTACTTTTTATTTCTCTGAGAAAACAGAAAACTTTCAAGAGCTTAAATTCAATCGAGCTTACATTCACACCACTGAGGATTCATTAAGATCACCCAAGGTCTCCATATTGCTAAATCCAATAGTTAATTATTATTAGCTCTTGTTTTGTTTTATCTACCAAGAATTGAAATGTTAGGTTGAGGCAGGAGGATCGTTGTGAGTTCGAGACCAGCCTGGGCTACATAGTGAGTTCCAGGTCAGTCTCAACCACATAGTGAGACCCTGTCTCAAAAAACAACAACAACAACAACAAAAGAATTGAAATGTTTTGCCTCTCTGAACCACTCCATTCATTTGGCTCTCAGGATCCTCGTACTTCCAGGTTTCCTACTATTTCTCTCTGGCTACTCCTTAGGTTCACTAGCTAGTTCTTCCCACTTCTTTGACATGCTGATCTTGAGAGGGTCTGTCTGTCTGTCTGTCTGTCTTCTCTCTTTTCTGAACTGTAGCTGTACAGGGGAAATGCAATCACTGTCAAGCAATGACCCTACAGAAAGAGAACCAAGAGAATGAACAACCTGACTTCTTTTTCTTTCTAGTTTCCAATCTCCAGTTGATACCTCCCATTGGCTGAACCCAACTGGGCACCAAAACTAGAGAGCTCAGCTAATCCAGTCAGCCTCCAAGACACAGAGCATGATGAAGAAAGGATCTGAAGAAGTAAAAAGAGAATATCCTATACACTATGCTATGAAGTGTGGGTCTTATTTTTCAAAGGAATAAAGTACAGGAACCTGACCAGGTCTGTACTTATGAAAACTAACTCTGACAACAGAAATGAAGGATTTCAAAGTACAGACACTTTGTTTTAACTTCTCTCCCTTTTAACTTCAAAGCCCCCCAATTTGTGAGTTCCTAGAAAGCAAGGACTGAATTTCATTCATCACTGTATTTCACAGCCTAGTACTATGTCTGGCACATAGGAAGCTTTCAACAAATACTTGGCAAACGAATGAGTTACTATCCTGAAAGAAATGCCATATAAATTTAATAGTTTAATAAAATGTTAAACATATTCTGAAACATTGCCTATCAAGTAAAAACTTAAGGGAAGAGAATAAAGAAGTACACAGAATCAGATGCTAACAAGAACTGATAAAAAGTGTGATGGCTACTGAACACCACCGATAAATGAGTCAGTTAAGATACATCATCAAGGAAAAAACAATCAAGAATTAGGACATAAAGATTTATGGTACATGGGCTGGGGATTTAGCTCAGTGGTTCCGTCACCTGTCTTACAAGTGCAAGGACCTGAGTTTGATCCCCGGTACAAAAAAAAAAAAAAAAAAAAAAAAAAAAAGAAGACCTATGGGACAATCTTATTATTTTTGGAATGCAGAACAATACAAGAAATCTTAAGAAATAAAAAAGCCAAAACCTTAATTTGAATGATCTTTTAATATCCCCACATACATAGAATCAAAAGTAATATTTTTAAAGAAGTCACCAGTAACTAGTTTTTTCTAATGTTTATAAATATATAAAACTAAGGATCAGAAACACTATAATTCACTAAACCTTCAGGTAGCCAGCCTTCCCCTTCTGCCCCTTAGTGCCTCATTCTAGCAGAAACATTATTCTATTTATTCCTAAACCACTGCAATTCTTTTTCTTTTTCTTTTCTTTTCTTTTGTTTGAGACAGGGTCTCACTATGTAGCTGAGACTGACCTGGAACTCGCTATGTAGCCCAGGCTGGTCTCAAACTCACAGCGATCCTCCTGCCTCAGCCTCCCAAGTGCTGGGATTACAGGCGTGTGCCACCATGCCCAGCTTGAAATTCTTAATGTAATGGATTCATAAATGTAATAAGCAATGCTGAAAAAGTTATGTTTGTTAAATAACCAAAGTTGGCCAGAAAACTTACACAGTCTAAAACCTGAAAATAAATGAAAGAATAAAAAATATACTTTCATTTTAATTAAATATATTCTCGCACATTTATCCAGGATAATGACAAAAGTGGGAGGGGACAGGAAGGAGGGGCAGTACTATTTATCAGCTATTGCCTTACTAAATCAAACTATCAAATATAACATTCTTCCAGAAAAGACCTATATGTTATTCTTCAGAGCAAAATGGGATGAGCCAACAGTCAAGGATCAAGGGAAAAACACATCTCTTACATAATTTTATTAAGTACCTGATCAATTAACAATATTTCGAAAAGGCTTTGTTGCCCAAAAGCTAAAAATGGCTACAAGATTAGTTTCTTTTTTTTCACCTTTTGGTATTGGGGGATTGAACTAAGGGGTGCTCTACCACTTACCTGCATCCCCAGCCCTTTTTAAATTTTTAAAAAATTTTGTGACAGGGTCTCACTAAGTTTCTCAGGTAGGACTTGAACTTGAAATCACCCTAGCTCAACTACCAGAGGGCTAAGATTATAGGCATGGACCACCACACTCAGTTTAATTTCCTTTTCAGATGATGGCATATGAAATTGTTCACTATGTATGATCATTGACAAACTTGAAATCCAAACTTCAAAACTTCCTTTTAACCAAACACACACAGGTTACTAAAAATAACACAAGGTATCTCAACACACAACCTGATAAGTGGCCTCCTAGGTAATAAGAACAGCTGATTATTGCAGGGACTAGTGTGACTTATCTTGACTAAGTCAAGAAAAACATAAGGCTTGGATCATTCAGTGCTTTACACAAACACCGATTTGTGTTTCCTCTACCTAGATATCAATATTTTGTCATTTTCTGTTATGCTACAGCATTCTGTAAAGAAATTTTATATCTTATCAATCTTACAACATTCTGTTTGAACATCTTTTATTTACATGTCAGAGTAGTTCTTTGAGTGAACATAAGATTTAGAATTGGGACTTGGTAATTATGAGCAAGAAGCTATAATTGGGCCACAGATAACTCATTTATGAAGAAGTGATAAATGTAGGCTCTAAGGACACTATAATCATTGAATTCAATTTTATTAATCAAACTAATGTAACCCTTCAAAGAAGTGGAAAACATGCTATTAATAGCTAGCATCTTCTGAGTATCTACAATGTATCAGATACTAAGCTAGGTATCATACATTATCTCAAGCGGCAAAGTTGCCCTATTTAAATAAACTCAGGTTCACAGAGGTTAAGGGACTTGCTGAAAGGCAAAAAACTAAATGAGGATTTGAACTCACAACTATCTAGACCTCAAGAATTATTATTATTGCTAGGTATATTAAATTCAGTTTCTGGAGAGTTGGACCTTTGTCTTATTTATCTGTTTTCCTAAGCACATGGTGCATAACAAATGATCAATAAATACAGATTTAGCATAAAGAATCATAATCTGTCGGGTGCAGTAAAAAGCAAAAAACTGAACATCCTTAGAGGGTCCTAGAGGTACATCTTTTCCTTTTTGGCATGAGTTACAAGACAATTACAAATGGATCCCAATTTATGATGGTTCAACTGACAATCCTTTGATTTTATGATGTTGCAAAAGTGATATGAATTCAGGAGAAACTGTACTTCATATGTAATCTAGCAATGTGTGGTACAACAGTCCCACAGTGCTAGATAGCTGCCAGTTGGCTTCACGAACACACAGGTACACAACTGAATATTTTAAAGAGTACTTTTCTAAACTGTAATGCGCAGTATGTTAGGCATTATAATATACACATACATTCTCGATTTGCAGTATTTCCAACCTGTGATGTTTATCAGGATATAAAACTATTATAAATTGAAGAGTATTTATATTTGAAAGTTGAAGCCCATAGAAAATGCTCACAGGGCTCATAACAGCTTAGATGACAGACACCTGAAGAGCTGTCCTGAAATTTGAAGTCATCCACCCTTAATTCTAGCATTGCACCATAAATCAACAACATGCTCTAGATTCAGCCACTGAGGAGAAAGCCCTACCTATGACTGCATGAGGTCTTGGGGGGACAACTAGACACACACCACTATGCTAAGCAAATACCTGAAGACTGTGGAGACTTTGTAGTCCTTCTCACTAAAGTACTGCAGGCATTTACTATTAGAAGCAGCTAATAGTTTCTAAACCATTGTCACTAATTATTCCTATAGATGGAGATAGAGGTAAGCTATACTATTACTATGGCCTGGTAGATTCTAATTAAAATACAAATTACAGTAACATAAACTAATTCTAGTATATCAAATTTATTTGTCATTAAATTCATTTAAGTGAAGGACTGTCTGTTTAGCAGACTACCAAAGGATTGTCTGTTTATCAGAATAATTTTGTATTAACTAAAATCAGAAATTTTCAATAGCTTAAATGGTACTGCGACTGGATTTTAGTGTACAATTATAAAAACATTCAACTGCACTTTTGAATTGCATGCCACATTCCACAAAGATGAGACTCTCAGTAAGAAATATTTCTGCAAAATAGAAAAAATGATGACTTTTATGTATTGCAAATGAGATGTTAAGAAAATATACAGCTGAAACAAAGTCAAATGATAAGAAAGGAAAAAAGTTACCTTTGCTGATAAATAGTGCTTGTAGTAGTACAACTGAAACAGCAGAAATGCAGAACTTGTCAATGTGAAAAGGGCCAAAATCACGTTCTTACTGATTCTACTCATTAGTTGGTGGTCTTCACTTGGTTGTTTTTTGTAAGTAACCCAGTTATTTTCATCTTTTTGGATAGGAAGATAAACTTGTTTTCTGCAGACAAAAATGTATTTCTGAAGAGCCAAAGCTTTATTTTAAAATTTTACATCTAAAATCAGCAACAGCAGAAGGAAAAATTATCGAGCAATTCACATAACATTTTGACCAAGAGGAGGAGGGACTTCTCCACAGCTTCTGATTCCGCAGATCTGGTGTGAAATCTATGAATGTGCATTTCGGGCAAGTTTGTAAGTGATCCTGCAGCTGACCATACCAACAATGACACTGTGGACTGAGAAACTGAAAAACTTTTTAGTCAAGAGACATGGTCTGTATGATAGTTCTACGTAGTTTTTTGAGACTGTGTGTGTGTGTGTGTGTGTGTGTGTGTGTGTGTGTGTGTGTCATCCAGGATGCAGTCAGTTTTTTAAAAATAGCCCATGTATGTTTACAGCTTTTCAAAAGTATAAAGAATGCCATGAGAAACATTTTTATTTTTTCATCATAGGTTCCATCTCTGATTATTTCTTTAGGATATTTAATATAGTTATACTACTTCTTACAATCTCCTACCCAATTTTTTTGTTTTGTTTTGTTTTTGGTACTAGGGATTGAACCCAGATCCTTGCGCTAAGGATAGCAGAATATGAGTCTTAAAGAGAAAATGATTCTTAAGATATATTCAGAGGTTAAGACCAAAAAAAAGAAAATCAACAATTTTCAGCTGTTCTGAGAAACCAAGAGAAGGCCAGTACCATAGCTACTCTTCAGTCTTTCCTAATACAGCTGTTTTTTCATGTTGTTCACTTCCTTTCCTTTCACTGTTGATTTCCACAAGAGTGTCAGAAGCCTGGCGATAAAGATTAGGCTGCAAAGGATTAAGAGATGTTTACCTACTTACCATTTACTCACTTTTTTTTCTTTTTGGTGGTATGGGGGATTGAACCCAGTACCTCCTACATGCTTGGCAAGCACTTTAACTCTGAACCACATCCTTAGACCTTATGTATGCACATATGTATTGACATGTACATGTATTAATTTAAAGACAGGGTTTCACTAAATTGGCCAAGCTGGCCTCAAACTTGTAATGTTCATGCCTCAATTTCCTAATTCACTGTGATTATGGGTGTACACCATTACACCCTGCTTCATTCATTTACCAAACCTCTGCAATATAACTTCTACTTTGTGTTAGTTACTTTTCTCTCATACCTGATGAAAAATACGTGACATACAAAGAGGGGGAGGGGTTTATTTGTCTTACAGTTCATAGATGTTTCAGTCCATAATCAGCTGGCTCTGACAGTGGGTTGGCAAACAGGCACTGCAGAGGAGAAACAACATGCACACACAAGGCAGCAATGGTAACAAGAGAGTTAACAGTGTCTCCCTGCCCCTTTTATCTTATTCAGACAATTTGGGGCAGGGAGCACTCACATCCTTAATCCTAGTGCCCTCGACCCTAGCACTGTATCATGAATCAGTTCCAGTTTCACATACTCTAGATCAAGCCTATGACCACATGAGGCTTTGAGGGGACATCTAGACCCAAACTAGAACATATCTCAACATGCTGATACTAGGAAATAAAGATAAAAATGTAGTCGGTTCATATGATCCTCCAGAAAAATCAAATATACAGTGACTCCTTTGTGAATGACTACGGTGTAAGGGGTTTTGGAAAGAGTGGTTGAAATTAAAAACCTAGATAAAAGAAGGAGAATAGGAAAAGAAGTAAAACAGGAATGCTGAAGGCACCACTATACTGAATTTCAAGTTATATTTCAAAGCCATAGTAACAAAACATCATAGTACTTGCACAAAAACAGACACGTATACCAAAAGAATAGACAGAAATAAATCTATGCACCTATAGTCATGTGAGGTTTGACAAAGAAGCAAAAAACATATACTGAAGAAAAAAATATCCTCTTTAACAAACAGTACTGAAAAAACTGGATATTCACATGCAGAAAATTGAAACTAGAGCCCTGTCTCCCACCCTGTACTAAAATCACAATAAGGATCAAAGACCTAGATATAAAACCAGAAACTTTGCAACTGCTAGAAGGAAACACAGAGGAAACACTTGAAACCACAGGCACAGGCAAAGTCTGACTAGAACTCCAAAAGCATAGGAAATAATATCAACAATCAGTGTGTGAGATTACATCAAATTAGAAAGCTTCTGTACACCAAAAGAAGTAATTAAAAGACTGGATACACAATATCCAGAATGGGAGAAAATCTGTTAGTTTTCTGATGGATGATTAATATAAAAAAATTTAGGGCCACGGATTTAGCTCAGTGATTCTGGCACCTGCCTAGCAAGCACAAGGGCCTGAGTTCGATCCCTGGTACCAAAAAAAAAAAAAAAAAAAAAAAATTAAAGCAAGCCAATCAAAAAAGCAGGGAATGAATAGTCACTTTTCAAAGGAGGAAAAATGATCAACAGGTATAAAGAAAATGTTCGATATCTAGTTATTTGAGAAATGCAAATCAAAACTACTCTGAGATTTCATCTCACCCCCTAATCAGAAAGAGTTTAATCAAGAATACAAAGCAAGGGCGAGCCCGCTACCTTTGGTGCAGAGGAGCCGAGGAGCCAAGGAGCCCAGCAGTGTGCGGGACTATCCGGTGAGCCCATCCTCTTCAGCAGAGAGGAGCCGAGGAGCACCCCCCTCCAATGCTATATGACTCTCTGGCTGCTGGGCCATACCAACACCTGGATCCACACCACAGAGGGGCAGAAGGGCCATTGATCTGAGCTCCAGAGGATAGAGAAGTAAACAAGAGAAAGAGGGCCTCTCTCAGGCTCCCAGATGAAAACTGAAGCCCACTGGAAAAGTGAAGAAAATCTTTGCAATAAAGGCACACCAGACCACCGTAGTTGATAAGTTGGATAGATCACCACCTCCCATCACAACCTGGACTTTCTTCAGGGAAAGGATAGACAAAATTTGCAGAGTTCAACCCAGCAGGAAGTCAGAGATCTCAACTTGGGCCTTTCAGCCGGAAATCAGCTAGAACCTCAAGGGACAGCTGCTAGCTTCCTAAGACTAATTGACTTAGACCTGTACACTGTTGCCCATGCTGTCTATTGTGTCAGCAGACATACCCCAAAGGAGGCCCTTTATTTTTATTTTTTTTCAAAAGTATTTTTTTTCTCTTATTTTTAATAATTAAAAAAAGTTTACCTTTTCCCTCTTTTCTCAAATTTTGTACTTTTTAAATCTTTTTTTTCTCTCTCTCTCTCACCTTGTTCTTCATTTCTTTTTGTTCCTATTCCTGTCCTAATTAGAATTTTTTTCTTTTTCTTTTCTTCTCTTTTTCCGTCTCTCGATTATCACTAGTTTTAAAGACATGTGAATACAATTTCTAGCTTCCCTATTGCTGTTGTTCTGTTCTTGTATATGTTATTTTGTTCTGTCTTCTCCTCCTTTCTTCAACAGCTTACTAGAGTTTGTGTGATCTTCCTGAGCCCTCTGGCCTTACTTCTAACCTTTCCCTATCCTACCTATCTATCCCATCCTCCCCATCTCCTTCCAAGTTTCCATCCACGGGGGTAAAGTTGCTATATTCAAGAGTTTATTCACTATAAACATATTTTGGCCTACTGCTCCATTTTAATTTAATTCAAACAGTTAAAAGTGATAGATTAATAACTTCCACAAATTGTCATTTTCTAAACTGTGCTTGATGCTGTTGCTGATAGTATCACTTGGGCTAAGGTATTGTGATTGATCTAATCAGTTGTCCTTCCTGGCATTATGAAAATGAGTGTCTCAGAGTAATTAGAAACTTAAAACCTAAAGACCAGCTGTATCTGGAAAATCGAAGTATTAACCCAGGAATTTAACCAAGAACAGTACCAACAACAAAAATAGAAATGAGAAGACATATAAGCAAGGCACAAACATAGGCTTCCAGCTCACCAAAGGCAAATTCTGGGGAAAGCGAGATGGAAAAGCCTGATAGTCAACCACCTGAACACCCTAAACTGATAGCACAGGAAGTAACAGAGATGAATGAGGCTGTGGAAAAATTCAAAACAGAAATAATTTCCAAGATAACCATAGAGATGGTGAGCAAGATCAAAGACATGATTAGAGACTCTAGAACAGAAACAGATAAAAAAATAGATGAACTCAATACCATGATGGAAGTAATGAATGCCCAGCATAGGAAAGAAATGGAAACCATAAAAACACAACACAGAAAGAATGAAATCCATGAAGCAGATTCAAACAGACATCCAGATTAAAAACTACTGAAAGCATTCGCAGCAGAATGGGTGGATCAAGCTTTATTTATGATAATGAAGTTAAGTCTCCCCTTCAAAATGCAAATATTTAACTGCTTGGGAGGGTAAAGTTGGGTACAGTAAGTTTGATGAAGTGGGTCTTATACATCTTTGACACAAATATACAGCATAAAGCATTAAAACCAAACACACACACAAATACTGTACACTATCATACTATGCATAAGCACACACCAGCACAACTGTGACAATGTCCAGCAGACACGTAAGCTACTCCTGTGATTTGTTTGTTCGTAATGTGAGGTCTGTTTATATTTGTGAAAGTTTGCAGTCAGAATGTTTTTAAGTTGGGGGATTTTCTACTGTATTAGTAAAACTACAAAGCTAAGAGTCAAACACATAGCTCAGGGTGTATTAAGTCATTGTAAGTGGAAATATATGTTCACATATAAAATCTGGATGAGTATGTCCCAATAATAACAATAGTTGTCTCTGGAAGAGAGAACTGACAGTGATTTTTATATTGTTCTTGTGACAGATAAGGTAGATGGTTAACTGATTGTCTTGGGACCCCTCAGGGCATTAGTAAAATACATTTCTGGGTATGTTTGGGTGTGTAATGAAGGTGTAACCTTGCGGTCTGTATCTGGTCCTTCACTTCTTCTCTAGTACTGTGCCCCTGCTGTTTCTCAGTTGCTCTAAATTAGGAATCTTTGCTCTGCCACACACTTCCACCATAACAAGTCTGCCTTGCAGCCAGCTTACCATGGACTGAACTAACTGAAACTGTGAGCTAAATGAAACATCTCCTTTAAGTTGTGGGTGTCAAGTACTGTGTCTCAGTGATGGGTAAACTAATACAGAAAGATGGTATCGTTGAGTAGTCACTGCTGTGACTATATCTGACCATTTGATTTAGAATCCTTTGGAAATGGATCACAGGAGTGTGTTTTCCCTGATTGCAACAAAAGATAGCTATATCACTTTAGGAAGAATTATTAACTTGTTACTGTGCTTATTTAGGAATCAAGTGTGGTTTTAAGAGATGTGTTTAGGTGTCAAGTTGAAAAGTGGTGGGATATGATAGTTAAATTCATCAACTTGATTAGTTCACCAATGAAGGGAATTAGTAAAGCACACTTCTGTGTATGGCTGGTGGGCCATGGAGACATGGTCTTGGGTAATATATCTGGTCTAGGGCTCCTTCCTCTCTGGCACTGTTCCCCTGCTGTGCTTCCCCATCACCTTGAACTAAGCATCATTGGTTCTGCCACACTCGTTTGCCATGTTGTTCCTACCTTGGAGCCAGGTGACCATGAAATGAATCCTTTGAAACTGTAAGCCAAATAAACCTCTCCTCCTTTAAATTGAGGGTGTTGGAGATTTTCTACCACTATCAGAAAAGCTGTCTAATATAGTTCTTTAAGCTTTTCTAAATTATTCCAATAATTTTACAACGAACACATTATTTTCATAACAACCTTTTCTTAAGAAAAATGTACAACAGATGGATTAGGTGGTTTAATAACTACAGTATTTACTATACAGTATCTAGAGCTTTGTCACTTAAATATATGATCTTTACATCAGCAACATTAGCATCACTTTGGGGCTTTTTAGAAATACAGAATTTTGGGCCAGGGATTTAGCTCAGTGGTGCCGCTGCCTGCCTTGCAAGCGCAAAGTCCCAAGTTCAATCTCTGGTACCAAAAAAAAAAAAAAAAAAACAACAACAACAACAGAATTTTCAGGCTCCAACTTAGATCTACAGATTCACAACGTACATTTTAACAAAATCCTCAAGTGATTCATGTGTACATTAAAATATGAAAGTATCAATCTACATGTTAAAGCCATGACACGCAGGGACAAGAGAAACAATGTCTACCTTGTTCATCATTATATCCCTAGCACCAAGCAGTGTCTGAAACACACTTGTTAAATAGATATGTAAATATCATAACTTCTGGATAGCGGATCAGAGAAGTGGGAATTATGTCTATGTAAGCTGTTCATTTCTGCCAAAGGTCTCAGAAGTAGGTGCTTAATACTTGCTATAAATACTATCAAATTACCTCAAAGAGTCCTTAGGATCTATGACTGTATGTAACCCTTATTTCCAAAAAAAAGAAGTCCTTACTCCTAGATTTGAGATCCACATACTAGCCTCCTATCTATGAGGGAATCTTATAGTTCCTAGTCCTTCCTTCATACCAAATCTATTCTCAAAAACTTTAATTAGCACCCCTGGGAAAAATTTTACTATTTTAAACTTCAGTCTTCGTGCTGTCTATACTTCCAATTCTCTTGCCTACATCTCAAATTTAATGTTCAAATTAACTATTTTATCAACTATCTTTTTCTCCCCCTCCAGAAACAGGTGGGTCTCTATTCTTACACACTCAAGATTTTTATGTTTTAGAAAAGAAACTTCCAGGCCCAACAATACCATTTTACAAATGAAAATAGGATCTAGAATTAAAAGATGGTCAAGTGCCTAGTTATTGGCAATACCAGAGCTACAATTCAAATCACTTTACTCACAAGTACTTTACCTCCTGGAATTCAACAGAATTTTCATTTTTGTCAACAACACTTATATGAATTTTTTAGAAACTCATATTCAAAGTACAAATCATCTAAGGGCTAGAGGGGTAGCTGAGTGCTTGTCTAGCATGCCTGAGGTCCTGGGCTCAATAGCCAACACTGTAAATATATAAATTAATAAATACAATAAAAATTAAAATCTTAGGGATAGTGATTCAGCTCAGCGGTAGAGCACTTGCCTAAAATGTGTGTAGTCCTGGAAACAAACCTCAGCACTAGAAAAAAAAATTAATCCCCTAGATAAAACAAAAGTCCACTGTTCTTTTGACGTTTCTTTTCTTCCTCCTCCTCCTCCCCCTCC